TCTGCAAAGAAAACTCGTTCGAAAAGCGTTCGATTCAGTACGTGGCTTTCCGGCTGTACAGTATAATTTTCACATCTTTCCGCCCACGCAACCCGGAGTTATGACAGTTCTAAAATCGACGAAAAGCACCCGCGGTTATAGTGGACGCGCCGCATATATTATCAGGCGGTGGTGGTAGTGGAACCCTCCCACGTGACCGCGCCGGCCAATCAGAACGCTGGGTTTTGCAAAACTTTCATTTAGGTAGCGGTTTTTCTACCCCAGTATCTCGTTAAATTTCTCCACAATGGGATTATTTTGAAAGTTCAGAACCGGGGGGAGGGCCTAGGAAAAAATATTTTAATTTGGGGAAGGGCCTAGGTAAAATTTTTTTCCAAGATCCCTTTAACTCTACAACGTTTTTATAAACATGATTAAACGTCTGTCCATACATATCGTAGCGATTTGCCGGTCACTGGAATCGGCAGAATTTTACAACAAGGTCTGTAAGAAGCTTTATCATGTAAAACGGTTAACTCAATATGCAGGTAATTAGAAGTAGAAAAACCTGTTCAACAACCGTAAGAGTCTTTGTCATGTAAGGAAGGTTCCTATGGTAGGAAATTACCATAGGAAATGATTACTGTCCCTTGGGCTGTGGCAGGGCGGGGTCCCATGTGCTTGAGAGTTCTATGCGCAGTCCCCACTTCTAATTACCTGTATATTGAGTGAAACGTTTTACATGATAAAGCTTCTTACAGACCTTGTTGTTTAACCGGTTTTCTAGTTACTTGTATATAAGAGTGAATCGGTTCTCTGTTCATTTGTGACGCTGAAGAAGAGTGATGGATGTCACTCGAAACGTCCGGAAATAAATAAAAATCCGTAACTGATCCAGTAGTAGAGTTTGAATTTTCTTACGAGTATCGTTTACCTGGATGTCTAACCTTCATCAACGAACCGTATAACTGTTCATTAGTAGTGTGTTTCCACCATGGTGTATTGAAAACTACTCGCAGCATCTTCGTGTATGTTCCGTTTAGTCTTCTAGAATGTGACATATTCATGACCCATGATTCTGACCCATACAAAAGAATTGTTTCAATACATGCCTTAAACACTTTGATCTTAGTTTGTTTTCTAATGTGCGCTTTTCAAATCTTATGTAATGAGTGAAGAGCACTCCATGCCTGTGCGATCCGCACATCCATGTCATGATGGGATGGGATGGGATAGGTAGGAGTCTATTTTATATATATCAAATTACGCACTTTGTCCTTGGTAAATGTAAAACACCGATTTTTCATCAAATGCAGATACATGGTTATAGAAAATAGTACTAGTACGTGAGTAAAAGTTATGTTGAATGCACGGCTATATTGTAACGTTCAGAACTTGGAAACATATGAGATATGGGGCTTGACTTCTAAATGTCCTTGAAGATCAAAGAAAATCTTATTTTTGTGGTCAGTAACACTACGGTACTGGTCCAAACGATATAAGAAATAACAAAGTTAGATGATGGACAATTAAATGCGGAGGTTGACAAAAAAAAGAAACTTGCAGTTGTGTACTGTCTACATGATTCCCACAGCACGAGTGTGCAGTATTACGTGAGAGGGGCGACCCTATGAGTGAGTGGTGTCACGCGCCCTCCCGCGAAAACAGATCCGCTATCAATAATTACAATCAATGCACGACACAAAGGACTCACTGTGGGGAACTATAAGCTATAGTATAGGAACGATACCCCAAATCTCCAAGCAGATCATACGGTGGCAAGGCAGTATCCATTGGCCAAAGGAGTGTCAAGTAGCCACGAAGTATGGACACTCCTCTGGCCAATGGATGCGGCCCTGCCAACGTATGATCTGCTTGGAGATTAACAATAGCCGTCCATCCCACCCCTCCTGCTATTCCAGCTATCACCGCTAGGTGGCGGTTTTGTTGCATGGTAAAGTCAGGTGGGTGGAAAGGGACTCCTTAAAATCTAAATTTTGCAACGCAGAGAAGCAATAATGCTGCCGTGATGAGGTTAAAATGCACCTGTTGCATATGGCCTTATGTTAAATACGGAGACGACCTGTTTCGCTGGCCTAACAAGCTGAATGAATGAATAAAAGATCTTTATTGTACGTTTGTGCTCTAACAAGCTACATGTAATTGTAAGTACAGATCATGAATACACAGGAAAAAGAATACAACAATAACACTATAATAACTATACATACTAATGTGAGCTACTATTTACAGGTTCAACTTCTTCTCGCTTCTTGAGACAGTCACATATGTACGAGCATATGGCGATAATGATACATGGCTTGTCAATTTTCATAAGGAATGCGAATTTTTATATTTCATTTAAGGATCTAAAATATCTGTGACAAAAAGCTCGTTACATGTTTGTCAGATTCCAGGTGGCAAGGTTGTTTGTGTCAAAATGAAAAGCCTCGGCCTAAGGACATTATACAGGGAATGTCCTTTTTCGGGTCAATGACACTGACAACCCCCTGCATGACTTTGTATGTGTAGCGCCTCAAAGCACATATAACTTAAGACGAAGGAAACAGTCACGCTCCACATTCAGTAGAACGAAACGTCATGAACTGTCGTTCATACCACGGGCTTTGAAGATTTTATCTCAGCATTCTACATAGTGGTATATTGATTTTATATAAATAGTCTGTAAATATGGCTCTTTTAATTATTACGATTGTATTATACGTATTCTGTAAATTGATGATCAATGACTAGATTTTAATATTATATCTCTGTAATTCTTACTTATTGGATAGTCCATGATACGTGCAGTGTTTGTGAAAATTCGACATATTTCATGTACCATATGATTGTGTGACATGCCAGTCGATTTTTAAATAAACTGAAACTGAAACTGGTGAGTGTCTGTGTTTCCAGGAATCCGGGGATGTCCTTTTACGGGTCAATAACCTCTTTGTGTTTGTTTCCAGGAGGTGTCCTTGGATGCGCCAACAACCTGTGGTGACTCTGAGTGTCTGTGCGTAACTGGGTCACAGGTTGACTAATTAGGGAGTGTCAGTGTGAGAAGGTTAACCTGCACCCAAGGTAGCAGTTAGTCGCCAAAGTTGCATTGTTTGCCGGCTAAGGCAGCAGGGAGAAGGTCAATCTGTCCCCAACCCGTTCGACCACATCTATGACCTTTGGCCTACTTAAACATGGCTAAGGTTATGAAGAGATCTCCAGTCTTATTTGCTGTAGTTTCGATTTCATCTTTCTTCCTGCTGCAGAAATACATGTACAACCTTACGAAGTAAGTATTTTTATGTTTACCTTCTTGTTTGAGTAACAATAAAGGGAACAGTAGTTTGTTAGGCTAGACCAATCGTCTATTTGTCAGCATGGTGGCCTTGAAAAGGTGCACCTGTTCTACCATGTCTTCCATGTACATGTGTGTGTGTGGAGTATTGCAATAAATGAATGAATAAATAAATAGATAAATAGATAAATAAATAAATTATGGATTTGCTTTGAAAATGTTACCTTTCTAGTTTTGTTACTAAAAGGTTATTTCGGGGGGGGGGATTATGTGGACAAAGAAGATGCGTACATACATAATGCTTTAGAATTAAACTTAATATATTGATATGTCTTCTTCGTTAGTTCAGTGCTTTGAATTAAAGTTCTTTAAGTGAAGTATAGTCGACGGTTAATATTGTTTTTTTATCGGTCAGTGTCCTCATCACGATTTTGAAAGAAAAAAGTTATTCAAAGAAGTCGCCAATATTTCCCCAAGTTTTTCATATCTCAACCAACAACAAAAGACTATATTATTGCTAAAGTCTCCCAACCCATTTATTTTTCAAAGAGTCGGACAGTTCATCTCCCACTGCCTCCTGAGAAGAAGTCAAACCCCCTAATAGCATGACAAGAATACTGTAGTTTAATAGAATAGAATAGATTAGAATAGCAGTTACCTTGTTCCTATTACCTGTTCACATATTGCATATTTACTTTTTTTTTAATCCTGTATGTATACAAACGTTATTAGGTTTAAGTAGAGATAGTAGGTTCGATAAGTATATCGTACACGTAGAAGTTCCTGTCAGCAAATAGTCTTATATCACCACATTTTTCTTGTCAATGTCTGTATGCAATTAGCCCTCGGGCATGAATTTGCAATAAACAACTTCTTATTGTTTTTGCGTCAGCTTCAGTACAAAACGCCTGGTGAAGAGAGAAGTTACAGCCTTTGGCACTAAGGGTTCATTCCTCGACTGGTACAACGTTACATCAGCATTTCGTATTAGGTAAGTGTATCTCAACATTTATCCACTTGCTTGAGTGACTGATTTCTTGTGTAGATAAGTATATATTCAAAACATTTTTGCAAAACACTATTATATAGTAAGAGGGATCCATATACAACGAAAGACAAAGACAAACTGGAAATGGTACAAAAATGAAGCTGCAATATTCTGTATAAACAAATATGAAAGGGGTACTAGTGTCACGGAAGTGAAAAGAAACCTACAGTGGACCTCACTGGAAGACAGAAGAAAGATGTCCAGACTATGCATGATGTACAAAATGACTAATAAACTGGTGGATGTCTCAACTACTAAGTACCTAACACCAGCCCAGAAAAGAACAAGAAATAGTCATGCCTTCTTCAAGTATCAGAGTTATCAACCAAGGATTGAGGTGTTCAAAGATTCAAGGCCTACCAATCCATGCTACCGATGATATAGCCTTTCTGGAGAAGGCATGGTTCAAACAATAGTGCTGACAATATTTCTTTATTTTTTATTCTTTATTTCAGGCATAACTCACCCATATAAAACATACAGATAAAAATACACATAATAACAATAGTAAAAACATGTCTATAAGTACAGACGGTCCCAGATATTGCGGAAGAATCTGTTGCGGAATATTACATCGGATTTGAGAACAGATTGGATAATGTTGTTTGAGGAGTTGTACAGACGGGATAGGAAAGAATAGCATTGTTTGTGCCATATAGCGTCAAATGTATCAGTCATATATGTAGACAAGTTAAATATTTTATTTTTTTTTGTTTCAGCAATCAGACAAGTCGCTATTTCAACCCATCAGAAAATTTCGCCATCATCGACTATAACCAATGTAAGAAAACTGGAACGTCTGTTGTCACGACAACACCAGTGGGACATTACCGGACATGCGCAGTAGTCGGCAACAGTGGCATTCTCCGTGACAGCGGCTGTGGGAACGACATTGACCGCAATGATTTTGTTATCAGATTAAATGATGCTCCATTAAAGACATTCGAACAGGTGACAATGCCTTCATGCTTCACATGTGATTTTGATTACTATAACTACTAATTACTATAGATGCTAATGCAATCTTTTATTAGTATATTTACAAATGAGTGCAGTTTTTAGGGCTGGGAAACCCGATTTTTCAAAGCCAATATTATAGTCATTTATCTCCATACTGAGTTGAAACCACACTATCCCAATGTATATTGACCATCATGGAGCAAAATACCCAAAAATTCTGACGGAAAGTGGTTACTGGAAGGGCCTTGGGCTGATTTTACAGGGAGCGGGTCTCAAAAGCCCGTTTTGAACAGGGTTAGAACATTACAAATTCTAGCAATAGAGTTTCTTTATTTTACCAAGTATAGTATACAAATTCATGGAGGTTTAACTCCATGATAAATTTAAGGGACAGAAAGCCAGTCCTTGTAATGATGTATGCTCTTAGGGTTATTAATATTTTTGTTTGTTTCAGGATGTCGGTGAGAAGACGAACATGACCATTATCAACCGCATAGTGTTAGACAAAATGGATAGAGTCGATTTTGACCCCCAATGGATAATTTCTCGGAATAACTCCATAATGAGCTATACACTCGGCACCCACACAAACCTTCCTGCTTTAAACACGATGATAAGGAGGCTGGATCTTAACATCACAATCACGTGTTCGGTGTCTCCACCAAGGCGTGATATCAAAACGTAAGTGTCCCATGATGAAATCTCTCTTTCTTTCTCTCCCTCTCTCAGTCTCTCTTTCTATCTATCTATCTGTCACTGAAACATATCGGGGTCCGTTTTGACCCCATTCGGCAAGATTAACCGCAAAATGCTTCATTCGGATGTGGGTCCTGACTTTCTTTCATCTTTTACAGTATCTCTGTCAAATATCACTCTACAAGGCCACACCAAGTAAATTGTATGGATGACGTCCTTTGGAGACCCTATATCTAATGCGAGAGGGTGAAAAAAAAGCGCCCTAAAAAGCAAGATGCCTAGATTAGAAATATACTAAGAGACGACAAATGTTAGGGCACAAATTGAATGAGGTGACACAGATTAACAATCAAGAAGTCTTTTATTCATCATCAAAACAGCAATAAATCAGGTGGAACAGCAGTTGTCATCCTGTCCTGTTTCTTTCATCACATTTTTGCAGGCCTGCAGAAACAAAGCATGTGCTCTTTACCCATTTCGCGTTACGGGTTTCACGTCAATCTAACGACTTGCGGCACTGTCGTGACTCTTTGGTCATAGTTACAGGAAGCGGAATTTCTTGGTTTTTTTCCTAGGAACAGGCCAAAATCAATGCGCGCGCGGACGTCATCCATAAAATTTACTTGGTGTGGCCTAATCAAAAATTGTCTTGCCTTTAGTCGTAAGAAAATTCAAACTCTACTACTGGATCAGTTACGGATTTTTATTTCCGGACGTTTCGAGTGACATCCATCACTCTTCTTCAGCGTCACAAATGAACAGAGAACCGATTCACTCTTATATACAAGTAACTAGAAAAACCGGTTAAACAACAAGGTCCGTAAGAAGCTTTATCATGTAAAAGAACGGTTCACGCAAAATACAGATAATTAGAACTAGAAAAACCTGTTCAACAACCGTAAGAGTCTTTGTCATGTAAGGAAGGTTCCTATGGTAGGAAATTACCATAGGAAAAGTTACTGTCCCTTGGGCTGTGGCAGGGCGGGGTCCCATGTGCTTGAGAGTTCAATGCGCAGTCCCCCCTTCCTGTTCAGGGTGGGGTTGTAGATGCGCCCGTTCTTTTACATGATAAAGCTTCTTACGGACCTTGTTGTTTAACCGGTTTTTCTAGTTACTTGTATATAAGAGTGAATCGGTTCTCTGTTCATTTGTGACGCTGAAGAAGAGTGATGGATGTCACTCGAAACGTCCGGAAATAAAAATCCGTAACTGATCCAGTAGTAGAGTTTCAATTTTCTTACGAATATCGTTTACCTGGATGTCTAACCTTCATCAACGTGTCTTGCCTTTAGGTTCTGGAATGAGAAGTACAACAGCAACCTTTCCAAGGAAGTTACGTCTGCCGGACTCAATACCTACACCCTTGCCAGTACATTTTGTGACATCATCACCCTATATGGCTTCTACCCATATCAAACGGATGTTCACAACAAAACACTATATTACCATTACTACGACGAGACGCCCATGGAAATTTTGGTCAATTTTGGTATACATGATTATTTTCACCAGCATGAACTTTTAAAATCACTACATGACAGTGGGGCACTTAAGTTGGTAACGGATGTATGTAAATAATGACTTGCTATGCTAACCTATACAGGAGTAAACATATTGATTTAGGTTACTTTTTTCGTCTTTCTGTTCCAGACAAATGAAACTATTGCTGACAGTAAAAATCAAGGCGATGGTTGTTCGTTATTTTGTTATGTTTTCCAAAGGAAAGCATATTGTTTTTCCTCAGTTTCTTCCTCTTTTTCTTCTCCAAACAGTGACCTATGACCTGACCAATGACATGATTTGTTGACGTCAGTCACCATGGTGACTGGTGTTGGGCTACATAATGTTGCAATTTCATGGTCTGCTCTGCTCCTGTCACCATATACTAGTAGTACATTTATGTGAATGTGTTTGAGTAAGATTTAACAGAGAACACCATGTTCGAAGGTATGCATTTGCTTTGCAAATGTTACTTCTCTAGTTATTGGTTAATTTTATGTATGTTTCATTTGTTATCATGGTGTGGTGAAGAGTTATATTTTCATTATTTATATTTAAATGACACTACCTATGATTTTATTTTATTTTAATTCGATTGTGACGATACAATACACTGGCCACCCAGACAGCATAGCTGATTTCGGGCGCCAAACAATACAAAGATTAAACATACACAATATAAGATACCAATACAGTAAACTAACAAGTAAAGATTAAGCTAAAATCAATCAGTTAACAATATAAAATACAACCAAGCATAATAAAGTACTCAATCAAGATGATAATAGCAATTATTGTTTTGGAGGTCAGAGGGCAAGGGCAATTGAATATAATACAATATGTGAGGAAACATATACATGTATAACGTAAGATTGTAAAAGGTTAACTTATGTGGTACCACGGGAAGGGCCATCTAAACGTTTTGTGGTGGAAATAAATGTTTCAAGTGCCTCAAATAGTTGTTTGTTTGTGTGCATGTTACAGCCTGGTAGCCCCTGTAGTAGAACAGATTCGGTTAGAGGGTGTGGTGTGAGTTGCTCTACTGTGGAGGTTTAAATGTGACGCTGGCAGCTGTAGAGAGGACAGCGTAGCAAATAATGGGAAACAGTCTCAGAAGAGGAACCACAGGAGCACATTTTGTCTTTGATATTCATCAAGTGCAAGGTGGCATTTAGTGGGCTCCAGTCCATTCTTAGTCTTGCAGTTAGGATGTTGTAGTACCGAGTACCTAGACGTCTGTACAGCTGGTTATGTCTCGGAGTGAACAGGTATACGTAATCCTTGCACTTTCTCTTGAATTCGTTTAGGCTGCTGGCTTCCTTCAGTGCCTGTGGAAGGTGGTTCCAAAGGGTAGAAGCATGTGGAATAAAACTGGACCTGTACACCTTCGTTCTACAGCGGGGAACATGAAGATGTGTAGTGTAGCGTAGCTGTAGACGAGTCGTTCTCCGTTCGCCTCTAGTGGAGTGGATGAGTGACTGCAGGTTCACTGGGACTAGACCATGCGTCATCTTGTACATTAACACCATGGAGTGGTAGTGTCTCCTGGTAGACAGGTTGTCCCATTCGAGCTCTCGTAGGAGACTCGTACTTGGGGTCCCCTTCATGGCTCCTGTCACGGTAAGGCAACCAGCATGGTATTGAACTTTGTCTAGAGTAGCGCTAGCCGTACTGCCGAGGTCTCCTAGCAGGACTGATGCATACTCTATCTTTGATCGAATCATGGTGATGTAGGCTAGCTCAAGGGCCTCTCTACTCAGTTTTCCTTAGAGTTTGCAGAGAGCGCCTAGCAGTTTCCTGGCTTTGCTGGACAGTGCAAGTACATGTGATGATGGCCGAATTGTGTTCAGGCCCAATTAAGAGTGGTTGCATAAAAAATAATAATAAAAATTGGCGTATTTTTAGGCTTTTTATCGGGCTTTTTTTTTGCACTGTTTTACGCAATAAAAAAAAGGCAAAACCCAAACCTCTGCCTCGACTTGGAGAGTATGTAACAGCGACCCCATGAGTGAGTGGTGTCACGCGCCCGCTCGCGAAAACAGATCCGCTATCAATAATTACAATCAATGCACGACACCAAGGACTCACTGTGGGGAACTATAAGCTATAGCAACAATACCCACCCACATCACATGAAGGTCTCGTTTAGCAGTAGCCTCCTATGTATAGCCTCCGTAGCAGGCTTACAGAACTGGGGGTTTGGTTGTCTTCGGCTGTTTTCTGATTAGCCTCCGTAGCAGGCTTACAGAACTGGGGGTTTGGTTGTCTTCGGCTGTTTTCTGATCAGCCGAGTTCTATAAACGGGGTTAATTCAACCAGGCCGGCTATGTTGTCTATATGCAATCAGAAAATAGCACATAAAAGCTCCCAAAGACCCTGACAAAAAAAAAAACAACAGTTTTTGGCATGCTATGGAGGCTACCTATGCAGGCCTCTGGGTGGGTGGGAGTTTTGATACTGCGTTTTGTAGACTTTTTAACGCGTTCTTTTGCCGGCCATCCTACAACCTTCTCCGGTTTGGCTGGTTGTAGGATGGACGGCAAAACAAGTTTAAGAATGCCTTGAAAATTCTACAAGGCGCAGTATCAAAACTCCCGCCCGCTCGGAGGCCTGCACAGGAGGCTATTGTCTAGACTGAATACCAGAGGAAGCCTTAAAGTAGCCGCAGGCTTTCCCGCAGCTAGGGATTGCATTCCAGGTTTGGCGAGCTTCTAAAGCGTGCGACCTACATTTCATCACGAAATCGTGCAAGTTGCAATTGAATAAGCCCCCCCCCCAAAAAAAAATCCGTCCCGCTCCTGGAACGCCTGTTTAAGCTAAGGTCCCAATTGGGAAAAGGGGCCCTGGCGGGTAGTTCCCGGGCTGTTTTTTACCACTTTCGGGCGGGACCCCGACGTGGCCCCGCGGGGCACCCTGCGGCTACCGGGCTATTTTTTGGCCCGTCGGGGCCCCGATAAGAATTTAATTCTGAGTTAAATTGTACCCGGGCCCCTTTGACAAAAAGACGCCGTGACCTCATCGTGAGAACACCGAGAGGTGCCCCTCTGGTTGCCGGCATTCCACCGGGACACATTTCTTACGTCACAGACCAGATGAACAGAATAAAGGTGTATACTTCGTAAACCCGGGTAAAATGTGTGACCTCACAGATCAAATGATCACAACAAATACGTGAATTCTGCATTACGTATAGGTCAATACAAGACATCGTCAGAGAATCTGCTGGGTACCTGCCGGGTGCCTGCCGGATACCGACCAAAGAGGGTGACAAAATTTCTAACAAAATGCTACTGAAGGAAACTTTTAATTGTGACCACGACAGCCGATGCCCGCTCGACTCCTGAACCCGGCCGGGGCCAGCCGGGGCTACATCCCCGACGGGCACCGGTGTAATTGGGACCTTAGCTTAAAGGAGGCCAGCGTTAAAACCCCTGAATCATCTGTGCTGAGGCGTTGACTGAATCGAACACGGACAAAATACGTCCATCGTGCTATGACCGCTAGGTGGCGGTTTTGTTGCATGGTAAGATCAGGGAGGTACTCTTTTAACTCCATGGTATAATCAAAAGTGAAGACAAACCATCCTACGCTGCCAACCTTTTTCTAAAACCGTCTTTTCAGGCCATAAAATGATCATCCAACTGTTAACATAATACAAACTTCGATGATGCACTTCACCCGATGACATTTCCTTTCTGAAAGAATTTTGACGAATTTGAGTTAAATTTGAGTCATATTTGGTCCAGGAATGGCCAGGAATCGAACATGTGATCTTTCGATCTCGTGTACGCTAGCTAGCCGACCTCGGCCTTTTGAAACAGAGACAACTCAAGGCTATATAGCCTTATGCAATGTTTGCTGCAGAGTCATAGATATATAGGGTTAGGACTTATTTTTGGCGTGTCTTAAGGCTTTTTTTAATCGGGTTTTCTTTTTGCACTGGTATCTTTTATACGCCAACCCCCCCAAAAAAACCTGAAAGCCTTAAAACACGCCAAAATAAGCTAAAACGTACCCAAACCTCTGCTTGGAGAGTAGGTGACGTGCTCAGTATCCTTGTACTTCTAATGAGTCTGGGCGCTGCACGTGTTTGAAAAAAAAAAAAACTCACTAGAGCACAGATGAGAAAATCACGTTTCCCGTCGGCTGCACAGACAATCACGTGACCCCTACCCTGATACTAATTATTCCGCCCCTTTACCCTCTGACCCTTCCTCCCTAACCCTCGTAAGGGTCATTCGTGGCTCAACCTTTCTCTGTACGGTCACATTTGTTTGGCTCCCGATCTTGTTCCAAGCTTGTGTAGTTCTAAGTTCCCCTCGGCTTCTTTCCGCTGGTCACTAAATTACTTCACCCTGTACCCCTGCTCGTGTGGATTCTCGTTCCTTTGACTTTCAATTGTGTAGACGTTTGCGCTCTTTTTTTCTGCCATAGATCCTGATGCAGGATGATCCGACGAATGCGCAGTGTAATAAGTAAACTATAGAACAAGAGTTCCACGATCTCATACCTTCACCAAATGATGCTAACCATTCCGACTGACGAAAATATACAAATAAATTTTTCTCGTTGATTATGAAAATTAGATCCTCATTTTATTTCCATCATGGATTATATCAGTTGATTATAATAATAATTATTCCCCACCTAATGACAGCCTCATCGTAACAAAGAATGCTTTTCCATCACTTCATCATAATTATGCAAATGATGTTATGATTTTGATAAATTAGGTTTATGTGACAATGATGTCATTTTCACTTAACTTCCAAACGTGGCAAGTATGAACTACCTGGAAGTTACCACTATGAAATTACAGCAATTTCCCATTAAACATGCAAATTAGGTCTTTATTTACATAATATATACTGATAAACCACATGCACCCAAAGACACAAACGCTATGGAAAACATAACCTTGATGAAGACAGGGTGGCATTGTTACCTAGGATCGGGGAGAATAAGACAGCTAACTTGCGCCTTCTGGCGGTATTGCAATGAATTTCACCGTGTCTTTGCAGCATGACATTCAGACATTGCTAGCTCAAAGTGAGCGAGTCCATATAACTAGTTTATCATACATATGTCATACATGTACAACTTATTTTTACCTCAGTATACGGGAAGTTCCGCTTTGTTACCTCCATGAAAAATGGAGGTATTGTTTTTGGCGTGTCTGTGTGTCTGTCTGTGTGTGTGTGTGTCTGTGCGTGTTTGTGTTCAAATTCGTCTTTGCTAGGGTGGTTTTGATATGGTCAGATTCGGGGGGAAGTTCTTAATGTGAGTCAGCAGCAGGGGCGTAAGGCAGCACATGAAGGGGGGGGGGTGACTTGTAGGGACGGTAGACTTGCTCTGTATACCTGTGACACCTGGTAATATCAGTGTCCGAAACACAATGTTAATTCAAAGCCACATCTGATCATATCAGTTTATTTTCGCAGAGGAATGTTGCAAAATGTTGCTAATGTTATAACGTAGTTGATATATTCAGACAACCTATAATGCCAACAACTTATTTATAATAACCGTGTCTTCAGCTTATTCAGTAGAATTTACTTCGTTGACACGTTGTCTTGTCCTAATACGAAATCAAAATCTGACTTCGAAAGAATGGGATGAAAACGTGCTATAATAAATGAAAGTTGTAGCTTAATTGACTCTTCAGAGCATGTTTTCATGAAAGTTCATCTGTGTTGGTAGTAATCATAGTAAAAGGTTAATATAAATGGTTTTTAAATGTTTTTTTATTGTCCAAACAGTACCCGTGCAGTGCATGGCTGAATTGATGCAGGGTATCACATAATAATCAATACAAATCACAACAATTACAACAATCAAATAATACACATGATACATATATGTGTTCCACAATTTTTTTTTGTGGAACTGTCGCAAGGGTCTGTGCGGCTGCCATTCTTCGCTACAAGGTGACCTCAATACGACTTTCTCCAACCGAAGTTAGGTACCCATTCACACCTGGGTGGTGTGAGGAAAGTCGTGTTAAGTGCCTTTCCCAAGGGCACAGTGTCGGGGCGCATGTTCAGACATGTCCCGGGTTCGACTCGGAATCGAACCCGGGTCTCCCCGCTTCATAGTCGATTGCTCTAACCACTACACCACCCGACGCCACAAACTTTCTTCCAACACACTTAAACTTTATTCCAACACACAATTATACAGGGATCAAATTTTCAGCGACCACTGTCGCCTTCATCAGGATAATTAATGACCAATCACTTCACAACGTGATCTTGCGAGAATTACGGTTTACAAACACGTGACCTTATTCACACGAGATTTTACTGATACGTGACGTAAGCAATTGATCAATTGGTCATTAATTATCCTGATGAAGGCAACAGTGGTCGCTGAAAATTTGATCCCTGTATAATTGTGTGTTGGAATAAAGTTAAACCTTTTACTAGAGCATGTTTTCATACATACGGAGTCACAACTCGCATGGGTTCCCATCCCCAATTTTGGATATACCCGTACATACTAAAAGAGGTCCTAATATTATTGCCGTATGGGAGGGAGCGTCAGAGTGAGCTACGAATTTTTTCTCAAGCGTTGGTTACCTTTAGGCCACACCGATTTAATTTCATGGATGACATCCGCGCGCGCATTGATTTTCGAGTGTTATAAAAAAAAAGAGATCACGTCCTCCGAGGCTCTTGCCTGGCTCTAGGCCTTGGTAGTTAGCGACAATACGGAGGTGGTAACTCTTGGGGATGGCACCCAGGCTACCAAAGCTCCACGACTCAAGAACTCAGTACATAAAGCGCCGATTCATAAATTCCGCAAAAAGTCGCTGTCGTAATCTCCACTTTGTGCTGCAGCAAATTCACAATACCAGCTTTGTATTCCTGTGGTTTAGTAACATTTTTATTTTGGGCCGGAAGTTTTTTTATTCGCCCGCACGCACTAGTTTAGGGGTCTTCAGAGTATGTCATCCATAAATTTAACTCGGTGTGGCCTTAGATGTAATTAATTGTGTTATTTTTTATTCTATATCATTATACAATTAATGTCTCGAGTTTGTAAAAACAGCAACTTAAAGAGTTAACGATAGGATCACATTTCAGAAACCGTTACCGAACGTAACTTGCACATTCTAATATATATTTGGATATAAGCAATGCCACTTCAATCTTCTAGCAATTTAAACTCTACCATAATGCACAATTAGTCTACTCACACGGCGCATGTTCTATAATAGATATTTTGTGCTGAACCCCAGCTAAAATAAAGCCAATTGATTTTGTGTGAAAGAGACTCTAACAAAAGCGGAAAGTTCAAAGCTACACAATCCATTGTCCAGGTGTCACAAGTTAAAGAGCGGGCGGGTGCTGAGTGGATTTCTTCATTCCATGGGAGGCAGCCGATGTGCACTACGGTTTCCCATTGTCTTGGTCTGTGTGAGAATCGGTATCATAAGAACATTTATAGATCGTTCGTTGAAATGAAATATTCTTGATTTTGATACGACTAAATCATGCCACAAAAACTTTATCTGTTTATTGGATTGGCTGTTCGGCACACTCAGCGGTTGCCCTGGTGACAAGAAATTACAATAATATATAGATTAAATATTAATAATGTGGGAAGCTGAAAATGGTAACGGGATTGTGGTGCATGATCATGAAATGCTTTAATATCTACAAGGTTTAAGTTTAGAGTAAGTAGTGTTAATTGCAATGTTACGCCAATAAAAGTTTACTATAAACCTTAGCATGAAAGTTCATCTGAGTTGGTAAATTACATTATGAAAAACTTAAACTTTTCTCTAACTCAAAATTTGACTCATCAGAAATTTTCGACTGAATCACCCTGGTGAGTCAAATTTTGAGTTGGAGAAAAGTTTAAGCTTTTCATAATACTATATACCTTGTTTGGGCCTGTCTCTTTCAGGGCCTTCAGGGGGACTTGCGGTGCTTGTGGTGCCTCGGTTGGCAGCTCAGGACGAACCCCCGGGTTCTGTTTTAGCTCTACGAGGCCACTTGTTCTTTCGGTATACATATTGGTGAACTCGATGTTTTCATCTGAGATGCGGGGTGGCCTTCAGATAAAAAGAATGCGGAATTAGGAGCTATTCTCGTTTTTTTAAGATGATGATAATAATAATAATAATAATAATAATAATAATAATAATAATAATAATAATAATAATAATAATAATAATAATAATAATAATAATAATAATAATAATAATAATAATAATAATAATAATAATAATAATAATAATAATAATAATAATAATAATAATAATAATAATAATAATAATAATAATCAAGACAAATCACAACAATCAAATAATACACATAATACACATATTTGTTCCAAGGATCTATACGGCAGCCATTCGGCGCCAGGTGACCTCAATACGACTTTCCCCAACCAAAGTTAGGTGCCCATTCACACCTGGGTGGAGTGAGGAAATTCGTGTAAAGTGCCTTTCCCAAGGGCACAACGTCGGGGCGCATGTTCAGACATGTCCCGGGTACGACTCGGAATCGAACCCGGGTCTCCCGGTTCATAGTCGAACACTGTAACGACTACACCACCCGACGCGGTAATTTAGCCTCGCATCAGGTCAGCACTGCCTTATAAATTCTTAATTCCTTTTGAAGCCACGAACGCCCTTTGTGGCGATATGTTATACACTGGATAAATAAATGAACGAAAATGAAATGAAACGTGCAATTGTAACTTGACGACCATCAACATGTGTGTTTTGACAATAACGAGAAACTGCAGGTAGGAACCAATATCGGGACCCCATTCTTAACTCACAACTGAGACAACGATTTATACAGAGATTCAAATCAAATCAAATCTTTATTGAATATCAACATGGCAGACGTGCCGAAGTGCTTCGGGCACGTCTGAATTGCATTGGCATTTTACAATTATACAACATACAAACATCATCACAATAGATTAAAATCATCATTTAAAGATCAACATCATAAGAACACGTAGTTTAAAATAGTAACAATTTCAGTTTAAAATACAATATATATATACATGTCTAATACACATCACAAGTCTTTTACGGCTTTCACAATGAAGTAGTTTTTGTGTCTGTCCGATCGGCTTAATGGAAGCTTAAACTGATTGCTGTTCTTCCTAAGATTATATACAGTGTTCTCTCTTGGTGGGATAAAGTCACTGCGCAGGGGTTGGTGGGATCTTGTAGAATCCGTTTTAGTTCTCCGTTTTAGATTTAGAGAGAAACAGAGATACAGAATCATAACTAGTACTTACTCAATTTTATACTTGTCCTTCTTCGATGCGTAACGCATGGCCCAAATAACGACGACAGCAATGGTGACACCAAGACACAGGACAGTGATGAGCGCGATCTGCCATGGTGGCATGGATTGCGAGGCGTACGGCCAAGTTGATGATCCACAATCACAGAGGAAGTCGTTAGGGAGGTCGACACACGTGAAGTTCTGCGGACAGGGGTTGGAGGAACATTCGTCAAAGTCGCTCTCGCAGTACCTTCCGTAGTAACCGTACTGGCATGCACATTCGATTATGATTATTTCCACATACCTGGAACCTTTCTTGTGTTTGCAGCATGGCGTTGTTGGTGACAGTAATGATGATGTAATAGTCGTGGCACTGGGTTCCCTCTGAGATGTTCATCTTGTTTTTGTCCGGTGAAAACTCGTAGTTGCGGAAGTAACACTCCTCATCTTTGGGGATGCAGGTGCAGAATGGAGGAGTACACTCGGGATGGATAGTCTGTGAACGTAAGACAAGTTCATATGTTCGCAATGAAGCATTGGTAGAGAAACTTTGGTGTACATACTAACGTGATCGGAAGCTATATAATAGAATATGGTTTCAAACTTTGTAAAAGGATTTTGCTCACTGATGGCCTCCTGACGGCGACTTGCCCCTCCCCATGGACGACTGTCGGGTCTGCCATGTCGTGTAACTCCCAGTGGATGTTATGAAGGCCGCTGTGGTCATCGTAGGCGGTAAAAACGACTCTGCAGTGGCATAATTTTGGACTAATTACCCAGAGTCAAATTACAAATATGGTATAAAAGGTAGCAAAATCAACGAAGCTAGGTAGGCATTCAATCGGTCTCGTAAGACCATGAAGAAAAAATCTTCTACCTCACGTACTTATTCTTTGTACAAAAGAATCAACAAAAGGCACGATTTATAATTAAGGGTTAATGTCCCGCCCCGAGGTGAATATGGTGTGATAAAGCCTTGTCAGTTGCTATAATCACCGAATAAAGCCATCGAGTGAGCGACAATGGTTTGCTCCGGGCCGTGCTTTATTGTGCAACAAAGCACACTTGTGAGAATAAACCACACCTGGCAATATTTGTATCATGCTAACTGTGACATTATGGCGTCATAATCAATATGGAATTGGGGCTTCTGATTGGTCAACGCCACCTGGCTATATGATAAAAACAATTAACCCTAAACAGTACACCTGGGGTCCGCGCGGACCCCAGCACTATATAGTCTGTAATATCTTTTTTGTTTCTAAAGATTTTTTCTGAAATTTTAGGTAATTGTTACCCACAAAGTTGTCTTTCAATACAGTGCAGAAAACTCCGTTTCTACCATTTATTAAAAAAATTATATCTGATTTTCTTTTGGGGTCCGCGCGGACCCCAGCCTGCTTTCGATCATAATGGATACACTGGCGTTCTTATACATTACCTTATTTCCGTTTTTATATGTTTTTATGCACTCATCGTATGTCTACCAAGTTTTCAGAGAATGGTGTAGTAATAGAATTAAATTTTAATAACTTTGGTGTAATTATGACGTCATATGATGTCAGAGCTAATAATATAGTCCGCCATATTGGATTTTGACCAATGACGTCATCAAATTAGCATATTCTATGCATATTAAATGATTTAACTTATATTTAATTATGTAAGATGTTATTAATGTTAGAAAAGAAGTGTAATTTAATATAAAACTCAGAAAATTTTTATGTTTAAACCAAAATTACTTCTATTTTCAAAAAAATAGCCCGTTGCCATGGCAACACAAAAAAACATCAACTTACTAGTATTAAACTAATATGAACTTTTTTCCAGAGACATTTTAGGAAAGGTCTCCAAATTTGATACTTCTAGCGCAAGCCGTTTTGCCGCTATCTGAGATCAAAGTTGGGCCTCAAAAGCCCCTTCAGTCTGAAATGGGTTTAAAAATCGGGTATTTGTTCTTGTCTTCTTTTCTTCACCAAAAAATAGAAAAAGTTCAAAATGTATGATTTTTGTATGTAATGTGGACACAGAGGTTCCCACATCAGTTTGCAAAACAATTGAGCTGGTAGCATGTTGATAATTTCTAAAAATTAGCAAAAAACTGTTCTGGGGTCTGCGCGGACCCCAGGTGTACAGATTAATCAGTCCGGGAAGGTGTACTGTTGAGGGTTAACGACTATTTACTAACATATCATGTTTAATACCATCATAGAATGAATTTGAATTTTTGAAGAAAAAAAATTACTTACGTCATCTTATCAAGATCTTGTGAGTGATGTACTGCCGAAGTGTTTACTCCGCCACGTGACAGAAATATGTCCTCTATCACAGGAGGAGACGAGTCCACGTGAATGGTGACGTAGTCGTCAGCAAAGTTGCTCATGACGTCATAAGCACGAACCCAGAAACGGACCGTGTCTCCGTCTTCTCTAGGGACGTCACGACTCTGTCTTTGTAACTGGAAACATATTGATATGACTTGACATGTATTAAGCTCCAAATAAAGCAGTATTCTGAGAGGTTTATTTTTTTATATTTTTTTTATTCCAACATGTAATCACCAGACATGGTGACGACACACTCAAGTTTTTTCAACTTATATTAATGCCGCCACCAACACAGGGGACAAATACATGACAGGACAATACTCATTTTCACCTGAGCTAAGTGAGGAAAGCCGTGTAAAGTGCCTTTCCCAAGGGCACAAGATCGGTGGCATGTCAGGACTCGAACCCGGGACTCTAAGTTCCGAGTCGCGCACTCTGCCGCCACGCCACACGATCCCACGTGTTTATTTTACATTGCAGAGGCTGAGAAATGATAATTATTAAATCATCCTGCCACGACTACGGTAAGTTCGATCAAGATCAACATTAAATATGTTCCGGAAAAAAATGTCAATTGCAATAACTGTTTTGTAGCTATATCAATTCAATTCTTGTTTTTGAGGGAATAACAGTTTTTATCGTTGTATGCTTAATTACCAAATCTTACATGACGATAACAATCGTTTAAGGAGTCTCGCATGCGAGTAGAATTATCACGAAGTTCGATGTCTCATCTGGCACAGCGTCATAGAAAGAGGCGGAAATCGTACTACGCTGTAAAAAGAAATACGGAATTAACATATACGTATATCATAGCCCTATAGTTTGAGGCATGAAACCTGGGATCTTTTAAATTTACCGTCATATCTGTGACGTTCTGCCAGTTTCCCGGCGGGCTGCTGAGACTCCTCCCGCCCTGATGGTCCACAGCCCAGTCTGTCTGGAACAGCAGGATGGTGTTCACGTTCGGGATGGCTTCACGGGACCGGGTAGCTGGGGGCTGGCCTGAGAATAACAACGTAGTGCTGTTAATGTCTGTCAGTTAGCTGGTCCCTTCGGTATAAACTTGAGTCAAGTACAAGAGGACGTACGTTGTATAATAGTTTAACTGGCAGGAGATGGTGCTGGCGTTTAGTAAACCTAAAAATTGACGAAAGAAAAAAATACCGTCCTTACCGTCTCTAAATCCAACTGAAATATAGCAGGAAGTATTTTCCATATTTCAGTTATCCCTATTTTTTAGTTAAGAATGAGATAACTGTGATGTAAACCCAAAGACCACGAAGACAATATGGTCCATCATTACCAGTAAGTTCTTCGTAACCAGGCAGGATGGGCGAAGGATGTTCTTCTATGGCGTTTAGAAACTTGTTGTGTTTGTGTAGTTCGTTGCAGAAGTGGTCCGGCCACGAAATAGTCACCTGAAGGGAAGATTATGTAACATATAAGCATGCTGTAGGAAACTCTGAAAATTGGCAAATTGGCACTACACAATACTATGTCACCTGTGGTCCATTTCCCATGGCGTCCTGCAGGTTGGTTTGCCACACCCTTCCGGTGACGTTAGAGGCTGACTCCGCCCACATGGGATGGTGCCCGGATGTGTCAGCCTGAACTGTACTGTTGTCGTCATAGATGAGGAACCTCCGTGTGATGACGAAGTTCCCGTCATTCGGCCCGCAGCCGTCATCAACAGTCAGTACTATACTGTACACCCCTGTGATGAAGTGGAAACGTCTGTCATTAACCCTAAACAGTACACCTGGGGTCCGCGCGGACCCCAGCACTATATATGATGTAATATTTTTTTTGTTTCTAAAGATTTTTTTCTGAAATTTCAGGTAATTGTTACCCACGAAGTTGTCTCTCAATACAGTGCAGGAAACCCAGTTTCACCCATTCTTAAAAATTTTTATATCTGATTTTCTTTTGGGGTCCGCGCGGACCCCAGGTGTACAGATTAGTCAGTCCGGGAAGGTGTACTGTTGAGGGTTAAAATGTTGTGAGTTGTGGCAAAGATAAAAATGACACATTGCCACGTTATATATCACTGTCACGTTACTGCCATGGTACTATCGCTTTACTGTCATGTTAATGTCACCTTACATCTGGTATTGTCATAAATAATGGACAACAGCCATTGAATTTAGATTATATAATATCATCAAGGCCATGCTATATTTTTGTTAATAGGTGTGAGGTATAAATGTGTCCTTCATGATAGACAAAGTTTAAATAATTGTTTCAGTTATTGCACAGAACCCACACATTGCACTCATACATACAATAAAAAGATCATTTTAGACTTTTTTCTTATTTGAGTAATATTAGTTATCGCACCTGGTTCTGTAAGGTGAATGTTGGCTTGACTTGTGGCCGCTCCAACCGTGCCTGTCTGTCCGGGTACAGGAGACAGTCCTCTCATCCCCAGCACGTCCCCGAACGGCCGGAGTTTGAACACCTCGTACTCGTACTCTCCAATCCCCGAGTCGTCATCTCTCCAGCCGGACCAGCGCAGGGTGATGTCACCCTGGGGGTTATGAAGATGATATACAGTGGATGGATGAAGACATTGTGAATTTTTGCCCCACTGGGTTAAATACAGGTCACATATTGACAATCATATATTAACTTCTAGTATACTCTAGTGCATTCAACTTCCTCTCGTTTTTTTAGTAATAGTAGAAATATAGAAGGCTGTATGATTAGTTAGAGTTCGTTTGTCGAAAGCTACATAAATTTATCTTTACTATTCAAATATTTAAAGTGGGGGAATTGCACTTAACACATAATTGAAAAGAATGCTTCTATCGCTATCATACAAAGGTAAATTTACTTCTACTCTACCTAAACCACAATAAAACATTTAAATGAGAACTTTATTGCACGACAATTGTAGCAGGTACAATGTTTAAAAATACGGACATGATGGAAGCTGATCTAGTATCATTGCTAAGGCCACACCAAGTAAATTTTATGGATGACGTCCACGCGCGCATTGATTTTGGCCTGTTCCTAGAAAAAAAAAAAACAAGAAATTCCGCTTCCTGTAACTATGACCAAAGAGTGACGACACTGCCGCAATTTTGTGCTTTGTTTCTGCAGGCCTGCAAAAATGTGATGAAAGAAACAGGACAGGACGACAACTGCTGTTCCACCTCATTTATTGCTGTTTTGACGATGAATAAAAGACTTCTTGCTTGTTACACTGTGTCACCTCATTCAATTTGTGTCCTAACATTTGTCGTCTCTTAGTATATTTCTAATCTAGGCATCTTGTTTTTTAGGGCCCTTCTTGTTTTTTTTCGCCCTCTCGCATTAGATTTAGGGTCTCCAAAGGACGTCATCCATAAAATTAACTTGGTGTGGCCTAATTGCTAATACATGTATCTAACAATTATGAAAAGCTAATATACCTTCATGGATAATTGAAAGTTAAGACACTATGACAACTAGTAAGCAGTATAACTCTATATGCGGAGGAAAGATGAATATATATTGGTCAATAGAATTAGGCATTATATGAACAGGGCATGATAAAACACACATTTACTTATATGTTTAGCCTTTTTGTTAAGATAAGGCTTTCATTGGGTAGAGAATATGATGATCTGACATAGTCCATGCAAAGGAGGCTCTTATTTACGAAATCATTTAGTAAAAATGTATATTTCGTCAACCGGAAGAGTTAAGATCGCCTGGCAATGGTATGAGGTCGGGGAACTCTTGCTATAAGTCCATTCATTCAAATCAATCATTAAGTAAAATTCTTTCTCGATATCTTGATTCACAAAAGAAATTAGATTTGCTATGTTGACTGCAATATGAGTGGTGGTTTCAAGCATATCAAAACGAGTAAAACACCATCAACTTACGTTTTTGGTAATCGCTTGACCCCTCTCCAACATAACATCAGTACAGTTTCCTCTGGTTGAACAGTGGTAGGGATCGTGGAAGTCAAACGTGAAATGCGCGCTGTGGGATACCTCCCGTCCGGTGTAGTAGTGGGTGCGGATCGGGGTCCAACTGTAGTCGTAGTTGTTAAGTTTGACATACCCACCGTTTGTCGCCTTTGTTGTAAAGTGCAACCTATACAACGAAGAAACACACATTGTTACACATCATATGTTTACCTAGGCAGTAATGTTATTATATATTATTGAAGTTTATTGCAAATTCATGCCCGGGGGGCTAATTGCAGATTACAAACATAACAGAACAATGAAACGTAGTATAAAATAACTAAAATCTACATGATAAGGTAGTTGTCTAAAGCTATAGCTATGTCTAAAACTATGTCTAAGGGGTTTGTCCCACCTTTTTTAGCGTATTAATATATACATGTACATGTAATACGTGTTGTATACATGTATGTACACTATACAATAATGATGGTTTCTCTCTTTCTTTTCATTGCGATATCGATAAAACAAGCAGTTGGTATTTTGAAAACTATCACTAGATACGCCAAAAAGCAGTTACTCAAGCAACTGGATATGATTTTGAAAACGTCTGACGTTTCAGCTAGTATCCACTAGCTTTCGTCAGTGACTGAGAGACCAGAGGGGAAAACAGGTTTATAAGCACAACCTATTGATTGATATGCAAATAAAGTGAAGACAATTTTTTTTGGAAGTCGAAAAAGGAACAAAAGTCAGACAAGTCAAGACAAGATGATGCAAATTAGTCTGAAAGCTCCTGTTATACAGAACAGGAGCTTAAGTGTCGTCTGTCCTGTTGAGGGTGGGGTTGTACATTCTTTCATACCTCAAACTGCATATCACTAGATAGCCTAGTACGTACCTGTCCCCATGCTGTGGTTCCTCTGGAATCATGACGTTCTCAGTACAGTTTTGCATGGCCGTGTTTGGCGAATTCGGGCTATTCCACTTGCACGTCAAGGTCCCCGTCTGAATAGTTGTATTGCCTAACGATTCAATGGTACGTGGAATAATGGTAAACGTCATTGCTGCTAAAATGGCCAAACACGATCCAATCATCAATCACAAACATAATTTTGAAAAAAAGCTCCATACTACGTATATGCAGATGTTTTAATGAATTCTAGATGGAAAACCGCAGGAAAAATGTACCGAATCAGCAGTTGACTTTATCCACACGTTTATACAATACCTCTCTCCATTCGCCAATCCGCCGAAGCCGCGATGACCCCTATACTGTAACTATTGATGTAGTACTGAGTAGACGGCATCGATGGTTGGAACGAAGTCTCCCATTCGGCCTAGTGTATAACACAGTATTGCAGTTTAACTGCAACATTTGCTTCAATATTGGCACTACTTTTAGTGGGGCCGGCTGGAATAACGACAGAGCGTTCGGCTCGGAACCAAGAGGCCCCGGGTTGAATGCCACTGATCTTTGCCCTTGTAAAAGGCACTTTAAACGTCTTTTCTGACTTCATTCTGGTGAAAATGAGTATGTCTATTGTCCGATCATGCGTTTGTCGTCTGCGTTAGTGGCGGCGTAAAATAAGTTGAAGAAGAGTGTGTCGTCTCTGCACGTGGGAAAAGAATAACCTTATAATGAAAAATAGTTAAAATTAAAGACTTACTATAGGTCTATAGAAGTACTTGAATTCTGAATTACAGAAGCATTCTTGTCCACAGCCCCAAATTGTACCCAAAATTCTAATTAAAGCGTCCTTGTAAGATTAGATGTTTCCTAACATGGGAAGAGTGTATTTTTGTCCAAACATCTTTGTTTATTAAATAATGCCTATCACATTTGACTACTCTCATGCACTGTCTTTATACAGTTCACAGTGATGAGGTAAATCTGATCTTCAGAATTCATACAAATTAAGAAATACCTCAAACTGCATATTTGATGCAGTTAACCGAAGGTTTGTCCAGGATGTGGATGTAGCTGTCGCAGTCCTGCAGTCAGCCTCCACTGTGTCCTTCTCAGTACCGTTCTCAATCCGTTTTATTTTCCCCAGGCAATATTGCATGGTAGGTGGGATACTAACTACAGAATTGAACATATTTATGAAAATTGGTAAACTGCAATAATTTTTTTTTCATAAAATACATCCTGTCATGTTGACGATCAGCTTTGCTAGATGTAATCAAAGGTAAACCGACATTATTTGTTAATGCAAGATTTTGTTTACAGAAGGCAGTACTGGTACAGGAGGTAAAGGACCCTTCACACTTAGTGAGAATCAAAAGGAATCAAATTGCGCATAGAACCGGGCAGAACAACGAATTGTTAAAATCGTGCAATCCTAGTCATATCCACAACCCAAGTCGAAACCCTAGTCATATCCCTGTACACTTGGGGAGAAAAGAGCCAGAATTAAATGCCATCATGATTGTTTGCATATAAACCTCGCTATTTCAAGTGCATTGTTAAAAAAAGTGCTTTATTCCAAATATTAGGGCGAGTTCGCTTCTCCCTCGATTGCGATCAGAATGTTTTGAACGCTGTTCAATATATTAGCAATATTTAGAATGCTGCCATACTCAAGTTGGAATACACTCCAATCAGTTTCTGTGAGCGTTGAAAGAGACAATGCTTCGCTTACTTGTCAAACAGTTTTGACCACCGAAATTTGCAGCACATCTACACGAGCCCGGGCGGTTGGAAGATCCACAGCTTCCAGGGTAGCAGAAGATGCGTCGCCACGAACACAGCTCTGGAATAAGGTGAAATACAGGCAATGTGAAATGTTGACTAAGAGTCACCATGCTGCTTTGATTTGTTTTTTTTTGTGCATTTTAAAATAAAAGAAATATAGTTTCTTTTGTCATATAAAAACAATATTGGTTTTCCTGTTCCTTTTATGATTGTAAAGTTCATCTATCCCATACTAGCCACCCAATCTTGTGTTAGTTGTAATAGAATTATGAAAGCGAAAAGGTCTATTACCAAGTACAACACACCTGCAGTTCAAAAGAGAGATGTTACGAGGTTTACACTTCGATGTAAATATCACTTCTTCTTGGATAAAAAAATACTATCCATTTAAAAAAAAACTACTAAACTAAACGCTCTGTTGCAGTAAGAACAAGGGCGGTGTTTAAAAAACACACCGGCGACGTGAGTATTTTAATAATATAATAGTATAAATTTGTAACCCTTTTGATATAGCTTGAGTAAAAGGAATTTTTCTTATAACGGATTGTTGTTTTAGTACTACTAGTATTTTAAAACACCGTATTGTATGTAGGAAGTTGTATTGTTTGTTTTTGAGGGTGCTAATATGATGCATGCATCAACGAATGAAATGTGTACCCTGAGCTGTAACTCACATTCGTATGGATTTATGTTTGATTATTTAGGAAGTACGTGAGTAAGGTATAGTTATTAGGAAAGAATGGTATCTGACGCAAGTATTACCAAATAAGGATGAAATTTTTAATAGGTATTGCCATATATGATAGACACGCCACGTGTACACTGAGTGGGTCTCCACCAGAAAGCAGACCGGGCGCTCGTCCAAGGTTCCCCAGATATCTGGCGTCTCCATATTCCACCTAACATGTCTGACTTTCCTCAGCGCCTTCACAAATTCACGGAGGCGTTGAAGGGACTTGTGCAGAGCTACCCCAAGGTCACAGTATGGGACCACAGACGTCTGTGGAGACACAACCCAAACTACTTTGCGCCTGCCGGCCTACACTTGTCCGATCTGGGAAACCTCCAGTATACAAGAGTGTCCGCGGTGCTTTAGACCGCCAGCTAAAGCACATTTAAAACGTGTTCGCTTGTCCCTTGTGAACCCCTTTCCTTTCTCATTCCGACACAATTTGTGCCCGATTGGCTGGTTCCCCCTTTTCGTTCGCACACGCACGTGGTCTTGGTTTCTTTCACGCAGCTAGGCGTGTTTCGGCCGGGTTTTTGACATGAGACACATGTTAATATATTTGAGACAATCTCTATCCTACATCATGCCTCGCACGTGTTGATACTATGGTTTGTGATACAACAGAATAAAAGGTTGCATATCTCGCCAAACAAGAAATGTCTCTTCTGTTTATTGTGTTAGATTGCACTATATAACTAACGGTGACCTGGCCCGATAAAAGGCGTAACGTAAACAACCGGAGCTCAGTCTGACGTAAACCTTCGTGGTGTTCACATCGCGGAGAGCTCCGCTGCGTAATACTTCAATATCTAAGGCCCATTGCCCCACCACATTCAGAGCAACAAGTATGG